ACGGAAAACACACAGAAAACCGAAATAGAGAAAAACACACAATAAACGACAAAACGGACTAAAAGCTAGCTAAAAGAACAAATATGTGGGAAAAAGAAAGGAAAAATATCAACGAAAAATGCAACAAAAATGGGACAAACATAACATAAAAAAAAAATTTAAAGATTTAAAAATACGAGAATACAAATCGAAGATCATTAAAATATGATTAATTTGAGATATAGCATATAAAAAATAAAATAAAATTAAAAATAAAAATATAAAGATCTAAAAATAAAAAGAATACATATTTGTTATATGAATTAAATAAAAAGAGTAAGAGTAGTATATGATAACTTGAGAAAAAAAAATATCTAAAATAGTTTATGGTAATTCTCAAGCCTAAAATCTAACATGTACACGTGTCAATGCAAAGCGATTTATAAAATTATCATTAATATCTTATGACAAGTTATTATAGAAATATGCTAAAAATTGAGAATTATAAATTCAACTTTCATACACGTACCATATAAAATTCATACAACTTATTATATTTTTAAAATTAAATACACTTCTATCCATCCCAAATGAAATTCATATCATTTAAATTTGCACATTTAATGCCAAAATAAAACCGCCCTCATTTGATTAAGCATAATACTCAACAATTATTTTATTCTAAAATTTAGTATCATATAATATTATTAAAATATTTTTTTAAATTAGAAACCAAATTTTATAAAACTTAATTAAACACATTCAAATACTCATAAAACTGATGTATAAGTGATTTTGAGTAATATACACATCATTTAATACTGAAATTCAGTGTTTATTATGTTCGTTGGAATTGGTGTTGAATGATATTGGCTCCTAAACTACCATTTAATGGTTACTGGCTAACTCAATGAAATTATGGGTCATATAAACATCATTTGAGAGTGAAATTCGGTTTTTTATGTGTTCATTAATGTGGTACTAAACACCCAATATCAGGTACTACAACAATATAAAACTGGTACTATCTTACTCTATGTTTGGTATTGCTTTTGTAAATGTTGGCAAAAATTATTTTCGTTCACAAAAGTAGGTACTAATCAATCAAAACGAGGTACCACGCAGAAGAAGATGTCGTACTATTATGGTTAAAACAGGTACTACTTTAAGAATCGTGATTTCTCTAATCCTTCATGTCTACCATGACACGTGGATCATCCACGCATGATTTGGACGAAAAATATCGGAAGTTAAAACATATAGGTAGAATTTGGAGTAGTCATGTATGATGATTCTATAAAATGAAGTGTGCCATTCAATGAAATGAAGTATATTAATAGTGTTTTCTCATTAATATGTCAAGTTCATGACCAATTTACGATTACACTCATTTAAAAACATTTAAAATTTCATGAAAACTAATGTGAGAGTTATTATGGGTCATATAAACATCATTTGAGACTAAAATTCTGTTTTTTATGTGTTCATTACATGTGGTACAAAAGACAAAATATCATGTACTACAACAATGTAAAACTGGTATTATCTTAGTCTATGTTTGGTAGTACTTTGTGTAAATGTTGACCAAAATTGAAATAATACGTTTCTCGTTCACAAAAGTATGTACTAATCGATCAAAACGAGTTACCACGCAGAAGAAGATGTAGTACTATAATGGCTAAAACATGTACTATTTTAAGAATCGTGATTTTCTAATCCTTCATGTCTACCATGACACGTGGATCGTTCACGCATGATTTGGACGAAAAATAGTTGAAGTTAAAACATATAGGTAGAAATTGAAGTAGTCATGTATAATGATTTTATGAGATGAAGTGTGCCATTCAATGAAGTGAAGTGTAGTAGTAGCGTTTTCTCATTAGTGTGTGGAGTTCATGACCATTTTACGATTAAACTCAATGAAAAAACATTTTTAAATCTCTTAGAAACAAATGTGAGAGTGATTAGGGGTCGTATAAACATCATTTGCGACCAAAGTTCGGTGTTTTAAGATGTTCATTACATTTGGTACTAAAGTCCCATATTGTGGTACTATATTGCCCTATATCTGGTACTACTTTTTTAAAATGTTGACCAAAATTGAAATAATCCATCTTAGTTGACCAAAAGTATGTACTAATTGATCCAAAACAAGTACTAAATAAAGGAAAATGTGGTACTATCTTTACTAAATCAGGTACTATTTGAAGAATCATGATTTTTCTAATCCTTCACGTCCACCATGTCACATGGATCGTTAAAACGTGATTTGGATGAAAAATAGTGAAAGTTAAAACATATAGGTAGAAATTGAAGTAGTCATGTATGATGATTTTGTGAGATGAAGTCTGTCATTCTATAAAGTGAAGTGTAGTAGCAGTGTTTTCTCATTAGTGTGCGGAGTTCATGACCATTTTACGATTAAACTTAATGAAAAAAATATTTTTAAATCTTTTAGAAACAAATGTGAGAGTGATTATGGGTTGTATAAACATCATTTGCGACCAAAGTTCAGTACTAAACGATGTTCATTACATGTGGTACTAAAAACCTGAAAAATGGTACTAAAGTCCCATAATGCGGTACTATATTACCCTATGTCTGGTACTACTTTTTTAAAATGTTGACCACAATTGAAATAATCTATCTTGGTTGACCAAAAGTATGTACTAATTGATCCAAATCAGGTACTAAATAGAGGAAAATGTGGTACTATCTTTGTTAAATCAGGTATTATTTAAAGAATCGTGATTTTTTTAATCCTTCATGTCTACCATGTCACGTGGATCATTAACGCGTGATTTGAATGAAAAATAGTGAAAGTTAAAACATATAGGTATAAATTGAAGTAGTCATGTATGATGATTTTATTAGATGAAGTGTGTCATTCTATGAAGTGAAGTGTATTAGTAGTGTTTTCTCATTTGTGAGTCGAGTTCATGACTATTTTACGATTAAACTCAATTTAAAACATTTTAAATCTCATACAAACTAATGTGAGAGTGATTATTGGTTATATATACATCATTGGCAACCGAAGTTCGGTATTTTTATGTGTTCATTACAAGTGGTACTAAAGATCCATTATACGGTACTGAAACACCAAAATTTGGTACTATACTACTCTAGATCTGGTACCAATTATTGCGAATGTTGACTACAATTGAATAATCCATTTTTTTTTTTACCAAAAGTTGGTACTAATCAATCAAAAATAGGTACCATGTAGAATAAGAAACAGTACTATTATTCAAAAAATCGGTATTATTTTAATGAGATGAAGTGTTGGTAGTGTTATTTCATTAGTGTGTCGAGTTCGTGACCAATTTGCTATTAAACTTAATTAAAAAATTCATAAATCTCATAAAAAAAACTAGTGTGAGAGTGATTATTTGTCATGTAAACATCATTTCACACTGAAATTCGGTGTTTTATGTGTTTGTTACAGTTGGTACTAAAGACCTTATATCCGGTACTAAACAAGGAAAAGTTGGTACTGTCGTACTCTAGATCTAGTCAATTGAATAATATATTTTTGTTGACCCAATGTTGGTACTAATTGACCGAAAACAGGTACCGCGTAAAACAAAATGCGATACTATTTACCCTAAAATTGGTACTAAATGTTAGGTACCAGGTACTACAATACCTTATACCTGGTACCATTGTTAAGACAAACCGGTATTGGTCTACAAAACTTAACTTTCTTTATATCCTTCACATCATTCTTTATCTTTCAACTAAGTAGGTATTAAGTACGGAAAAACAAGCACTATTAGAACGCAAGGCTAATATTCTTTTTTTTTAACTAAAATCATAACACTGATATAACTCGATAATTCATAATCCACATACATCTCGTTAAATCATCAGAAAGTCAAAAAACAAACATTTTAAACCAAAATCTTTGTCCAGAGATTTCTTCCGACTGAAGTTTCCAACAAGCTAAAACACAAGTTAAACTAAATAAATAATCTACGTCCAAATTCTTCTTGCAACTTGGTCCAAATTCCTTTGCCTGCTGAATGTGATCCTACGTCCACCTCGAGGTGGATCCACCTCAACGATGCTCATCTTCTGCAACTACTGAAAAATGTTACAAGCCACAGACCCACTGCTCTTGCAAAAATGGGACGGACGACTGCCATTCCTCTTGCTTCCACCATAAATCCTTCGGAAGGCACCAACACCAAGTCCTCCCCTCAAGTAGATCTTTCGAACCCTGGAAGCAGTCGTTATGTAGTACCAATCAGGATCATATGGTGCAAGCTCTTTCAGGACATCAATTTTTACCAAATTAGTCCAGTCGGGCAGCTCCATCTATTGACCGTGAAATAATAAATAAAATAAGTAAGTAAAATAGCTTAGGGGAACTCATGAAATAAAATGAGTAAGTAAAATAGCTTATGGGAACTCATGTGAACTACCTTTTCGTGCACAAAATACCTTGTGGGGGTAGAATAATACAACCACATAAAGAAGAAAACATGAACCATAAATGCCATTAACTGAATTTTTTTAAGACAGTATGATAACTAATCTTAGTTTTTCAAAATTCAATTATCAATAATCTCACAGTGACAAATCAGTTCCACAGTTTAGTTCTTTACTTCTTAGCCTGAGCAAAATCATTATATCACAAGCATACAATAAAGCAGGCTCTAGACAAACAATTGTTAAATCATCAACGGAGTAAAACAACATCATAAAAAACATTTACTACAAACAATGCCAATAATCAAACAACCGAAAAATCAATAACACAAACAATAAATCATCTTCACTCGGAACGTCCCAAAAACTAAGACTTTTCACAAGTCCCACCTCAAAATACATACCCTTTTTAAACAACATGCATTCACTTGAGATGACTAAGTGAAGAAAAACAATTGAAATGAAAAACATATAACAATGCTATTATAGGCAAAAACGTTCCCACCTTCCCCGAGCGCTTGAGGTGGGAGGCATATGATTTGACAGAATCGTGCGGAGAGACATCCTTGACGGTTTCCGCAGTCGTCATTAGTGAAGAGATCAAGCTCAGGCAGCCACGCAAAAACGTTTTCACTTTTTTTTTTTCTCTCTTTTAACCAGCCAAATTAGTTGAACAGTACCCTAATTCTTAAATAATACTATACTAACACCAAAAACCGAAGCAACCCCATTCAAATAATATTAAACAGTATATTGTATATAATGACCAGAATGATATCCATTATACATCATTATCAACTACGAAGTAACATGCTCGAAGTACCATACTATCAGGCTCTCTTATGACATACTATACACATGACAGAGATAAAAGTGAAATGACCATGGAATAACAGCCCACATGCCAAATGGCTCATCCAGCTCTTAAAAAAAGATATATCAGCTTCTATTTTGAAACCATAGTAGTGTTCAATAATGAGAAGTCTTTCACCTAAATAGTAACTATTTGCTTCAGAAGAGCTATGCAGTATGCATATTACATATGCTTTGGCTCTTTAACAAACTCATGAGCACAATCAAAGGGCGCCCACATCATCCTGTTTTCTCAATCAACCAAAATAATGAAATACAGATAAAGAAAGAGCAGAATACACAAAATTAGGTCGAAATTAAAATTAATTTGGGGAATAGCGAAGAACCTAGTTGTAGTAGAGCTCGAGGCCCATGCCGTCGTGGACCTCGTAGTCCTTGAGGGTGATGTGGTTGTTGTAGATGGTGCACCACTTCTGGATCGGGATCTTCTCGGCGCGTGTGCTGGTATGTGCAACAACCAGCTTCTTGAGGTCTCCGGTGGTGTTGTCCTCGTTGCACATCACTCGGACCTTCTTGCCCAGGCGGTCGTTGAGCACGGGCTCAGTATCTTGGTGAATTGGTTTCGCTTCAAGTGGCTTCTGCAAATTTGGGAGGAAGTAATTAGGGATTCAGATAATGGAATTTCAATCCCACTCTGCTCATTGACAAACAAACAACATGAGATTGTTTTGGGCATTCATTTTAAATGCTTAATTCGATGTTAATTTTAACCAAGCCGTCGACGACGAAGATGGTGAGTTTGCCGGAGAGAAAAGCGATGTGTGGACTAGGGAGACATTTTTTTATTTTTATGACATTTTTCAATAGTTTTTGCTTTGCTAAATAAATTAAATGATAAATAATAATAGTTATATATATACAGGTAGTTGAAAGGAAAGAGAATAATGCTTTAGGGAGTGCAGAGGAAAAACAAAGACATAGGGACTGATAAGGAACTTG